CCCCCTCTGAAAATACTTAATTGAACCACTCAAATACTTGCCAGCTTGTCTTATCTCTTTAAGCCCCATTCTAAATTTCCCACGCACTTTCAATAAAGCCAGAAAGATATCATTGACAGAAAAGTACTTGGGTTCATTGTGAAATAGATCATAACTATTTTCTTTTTTCTACTTTTGACCCTATGCAGTTTTCATATCCATCATACTATTTTATTGTAACATATTAACTACATCACTGTAAAGTTAAATTACTTTTAGTAGTTCTTTGCCCATCTGATTGAAAATTATGAACTGATCTTTTGAAGTTTTCCTCTGAAATCATACACTATTTCTTTAAGTGATGCAGCTCAGCTTGTCAGTATGTTACAGTAATCAAGGGACTGAAAGATCATCTCATAACTTTTAAGACACTTTTTTAAATGTAAGCAATGTATTTGTATTGTGGATGTAGCAAAGCAGAGCACAGTTGCTGCTCTGGAGAACATTTTATTCTGTGGGGAAATACATCCTTTGAACATAAATGCATACCAGCTCTCAGGTCCCAATGATCGCCTCCTCAGAGGAAGGGGAGTGTGTGGAGGTGGGTGGAGAGGAGGCTGGGACATTTCCTTTGTTCTGGTCTTCTGTTCTCAAGGCGTTAAAAACCTCTTGCGATGAAGTCCAGTCTGACTTTGACAACCCCAGAGTAGAACTAAACTCTATCAAATTTCTCAGCTGCAATAATTATGAGAGCAAGTCATTAGAGCTTTCTTTCGAGGATTTTCTGAGTGGGTTTAAAGCACCAACCTATTGGTTAGTAGCGAAATGTAAACTCCTCACCTACAGCACCACGGAGATTCTTTCTTAATATGTTAGCTCCGTGGAGTGCTGTTGTTTCCATTCCAGTGTATGCTTGGATCATTGATTCTGATGTCTTTAAGGATCTTGAAAATCTGTAGTTTTCCCCTTCACTCGGTCATGATTTCCTACCTTTGCACTATCTGAGCTTGAGAGATAAGTGAAGTGTTGGAGATCGTTTTACATTCTTAAATATAACCTCCCAATTTTACCTTAAGGGAACGATCTTCAGAATGGCATTGTAGGATTCAGTGAGGAGTCCCAGAGTGAACCAGAACTGGGTGCAGAAGCTGCTAAGAGAAGACTGATTCTCACTGTCATAAGAGAGCCAAACAGGTGTGTACATGTATATGTGGGTGTAGAAGATATACCATTTTGTGGGGCCACTCAGCATCTAAATATACTTCATAAGATGGCACAGGCAGGGTGAAAAGCTGACAGAAGAAGATATAATGAAATTTTGTATAGCATCGAACAGATACTTTAGCTAAGTTTATATGCATTGGGAAACAAAAAAAATCATGATTTGCTTTATTATAATATTTCCTTTATTAGAATAGTGTTAAACTGAACCAGAAATATCTATGTGGTCTGCCTCACCTGAATTCTTATCATACCCATATGCTCATTTGTACGCCTTTCCATTTGGACCTAACTATTATGAGGCCATGTTTCTCCCCATAACTCTACGGTAAAACAATCATTTTTAATAGTAGTGGTTTCCTTGAGAATAATTCTCTTTAAAAATGTAGAACATTTACTTGAAGCAAGGGTTCTCAGTACTGTTTATGTTCGAAATTTTAGTACATATTTTCAAAAATTTAATTCATATTAGGCAGGAAGTACATTTCATTCACTTAGATAATCGTG